AGGAACTTCAGAGTACCACAGTTTATCTCAAGACTATTATTCGATGTATTTATCTCGTTGCTGTTTCTGCCCCTCTTTTTACTTCATTTTCTCTTCATTTACATGATACGAAGGGGTTTTATCATTAAAGAAATGATAACTTCAATGAATATTGGGTGAACCTGAACCGTACATTTACTATTAGAATTTCTGTCTACGCCTGGAAGAACCATAATACTCGTGTTATGGATACGGCAGGACAATATTTGAGTCAGTGTTATTTCCAATTCTATTGATACTTGAATCAAGATTAGAATTAATACACACGCTCTATCATACAGTAATGTTTTGCCAGTAATAAATCTGCCAGCAAATTAAGTATCAAGTAGCCTTCCTTCATAGCTTCACGCGAAGAGAAACTTATTAGTGGCATATGGTTAGGAAGCTTTTCAGACTGGATGCCATGAGAGATCTATTACAAGAGTGCAGTGAAGGTAATGTATTCTGAGAGTATTGAGATGGCACTTGTCCTTGACGATGATTACGTTTCGACATAGGTGGGAAGATGTCGGCCAAGCAACCATTTCGACAATCTCACGGCTTACTCCCTCTCTCGACAGGCAGAAAATTCCTGGGTATTTATTTACATAGCATTGCCCTTACCACTCCTCTTGTATAAAAATTCTTACTTAAAACGAAAACACGGCTTATTATGTGAAAAGTGAACTACTTTCATTACATAAGTTGCCCTACACTCTTTTCGTTTGCAGGGCATTCTTCACGCAGACAGCCATGTGAACAAGGAGTCGAAAGAAAGAAAAGTTTCAAAACTCGATTTTTGTAATGGTATCGATTGTAAGTACTCGTTAGTGTTGGCAGAGAAGAAAGTGGGGTGCAAAACTTTCAATATTCAAGAAATGTTGAGCATTTTGCAAATTCGTAAAACAATACGGACATTATGAATATTTATAGTCATTATATTTTATGAATATTATATGTTTATTTTATGAATATTTATAGTCATTATATATATTTATAGTCATTATATTTTGCCTGGGAGAAGGAGAATGAAGCAGGCAAATTTTGGAATTTCAAACAATGTTCGATGTTGTCAACATCAGTGACAAGAATAAAAAAGATTTCACTTAGTTAATTCATAGTTAAAGAAAACTACTGACATCATCTATGAAAAAAAACTTTTATAACAAAACCGTCAAATAATCATGTCGATACATTGTCTGCGAAAAAAGAGTAAATAAATAGTATGTTGGGAGTATGCGAAGCTCTTTACATTCAGTAAATTCTCAAAAAATTAGTAGATTACCCAAGTAGCCTTGGTCCTTAATATTTTTTTTATCTTTTTTTAAAATTACGCCTTTACAAACTGGGTGCTGTGATCTATTTCAGTTATTCTGTCAATATTTCCGAACTAACTTAATGAAACTAACGTTCAGTGAAGTCTTTTTTTAAAATTATTTTTGAATATACTGTGTACAGCAAAAATAATTTTTCCGTTCTTGTAACGAAATATACTATTACAAATTCTACTTTCTAACCCGTGGATTGGTTCGTATATTTTAGGCTCCTCGATAACAAAATCTTCCGGCTCTAGTCCCGTCGGTTCTGGCGCATCTCGCAAAAAATTAGCGAAGTACGTCTCGACTCCATCATAGTATTTACTTTCGTCCGCCAATACAATTTTTATTGTACTTTTCAATGAATTTTTAAACCACTCAGTATCGGCAGCAATCGTAAATCTGAAAGAATTATTGAATATCCAAATAAGTCATTCATGAAATAAGGAGATTGCATTATGCCAAATATGTACCTATCAGCAATAACCCGAGTACATTCATGTTCCCAGAGTTCCAAGAGGACATTACGAGAGTCACATTCAGGACTGCCAATCCTCAGAATTCCTTCCCATATGCGCGACAAATCACGCAAATTAAATACATAATGGAATTTAGAAGGAGTAGGTAATAATTTGGCTTTAGTTTGTTGCCATACTATTCTCGTCAATGGAACCAGTTTTGGAAGGAAATTAACAATTTCTTCAGAGAAACGACTCTCGCAAAAATATCCACCACCAATTGATCCTAAATAATCCATAATCCATTATTTATTAGCAATATATGGCTTACAACGAATCACTGAAATTACCAAATATAGTATCCATAGACTTAGCAGAGGGTAGGGTGCAATTGAATATATTGAATTGACGTTTCAGACGTGGTGGTATGTCGTTCCGTCCTCCACCTGGATGAATCATTGCTCCCAAAAATTGCATATCTTGAATTGTATTAAAATCTCCAGGCTTGTCCAATGAATAAAATCCTTTACATTCCATCAATTGTCGAATTAATTCATTAGTTATTTGGTCGCCCCAGTCATTGATTTCTGGCATATTGATATCATCAATGAAAACCGTCATTTTTCTTCCACCAGACGGCCCATACGTAGTACCGACCCTTTTATCTACGTAACTTTCGATGACTCTCTGCAAAAAGTGACAGTATCATAATATCTTCTATGAAACTATTGACTGGGTATAGTTTATTTTCGAGTTGTTACCATGAAGTTCTTAGCTCGGAAAGCCATTCTTACAAATTATAATTATCATTTTATTCTTATAAGTACATTCATCATTAGCAGATTGCGTAGAAGTTTCGCCAATCAGAGGTATTTTGAATAATTTCGGTGTACGGTAAAATAGACCTGTACCAATTTTGGAAGACAACACATGTGCAAAGGGAAATTTCACATTAAAGGAGACCTCTGGGGAAAAGGTAAGTGGTTTCGAGTTTACAGTAGATATGTTACTTCTCTCGTACGTTATTAAACATTGCCTTTAAAATAACAAAAACTCTACCCTCAATCATGGGGAAGAGTTTACAGCTTGCAGCATTTCTTAGTCGGCATCCCGCGTTAGAAGACAATTCCAGCTTGGAATTGTCTCCTAGCGCGTTATCAGCAGATGGTTTAGGTCGAGGTCTACCTTGCGCATCGATATCATATGATGCACGTTCCTTTGACAAACACATAAGAATTAAGACCCATTCACTTATTGAGACAATTCAAGAAATGAACATTTGAGAAACGCATTGATGCACCTCAAAGGTCAATTGGGTTCGTTATCGCTGACAACCCAAAGGGGTTAATCCGCTGTTGTTTGGTTGACATTCTCTGTACGCGTCTCCAGTTCCGCGAATTAAGGTTGTTTTGCATGGAATGGCGAAGATATAAGAATTACTAATAATGTTTACTAATAACAATTACTAATAAAACCTAATTTTGACAGAATGTTTTTGAAGCGATAACAGATACTGGTATATAATTTGAGATTGATTTACAACACAGTTTTGTAGTTATTAATTATTATTTTTCAATTAATACGGCCTCTGATAGAGAAAATAGAAATTTCTGTAAATATGGTACAAAATGTAAATTTTTTTGAAATTTTGAAAATTTGGCATTGAAGCAGATTAAAAACGATGGTGAAAATTTCATAACGATTGACTAAAATTTTGTGAAGTTAATTTCTATAAACAATATAATATTTATTCATAAAATCAAAATACAATAGAATAATTTTCTATGATTATTACTTCAATTAATTAACGCATTGGAATATTAATTGGAAATCAAATGCGATAAATATCACGAATTATAGAAAGGGTGAATTGTTATTTTGACTATACGTGCAGAGCAACCTTATTGTTTTTTCGATTTCGCTGCTTTCCTCTCCGAGGAAAGCAGAGAAATTACAGTTTATCTGACAAATTGTTTGCCTCGGGGCGGTGCGGGCGGGGGTTATTCGAGATAATTCCTGGAAACAATGATGGTCGTACGGATAAATTTCGAGGAAATGGGGTACATTTAATTGGCAGATGGATATGAAAACTAGAGTACACCATGGTAATTGTTCAACTCCAACTACGAAAGTAATAAGGTTTAATCTAAATCTCAACTCATTTTTTCATCTCCAAGGTATAAATGATCAGTTCATAGAGAGTCTGAAATTGCATTCCATATAGAATTACACCAGATGTTGCCACATGTCCTTTACAAACTTATTTGACTTGACCAATAATAAAATCCATATTTATCTTTAAGTTTGTTAAAATTTCAAAGTGAAATGTCAAATTTTTTTCAAAAATTTCCTGCCGAGTGATCAAAACAGAGTAGTATAAAGTGTAAACATGAGAGTATAAAAACCAAGCCGAAGGTATTTAAAAGAGAAACGTTTTGAAAAATATGAATCCTACATCACTCATAATATACACGTCTACTTCTCGGTTTTAATAGAGATGAATTGAGGAGAATTGGATCGTATAAAGAAATCGTCCCAATTAGACCTACTTGAACCATATTTGGAGTCGATGCTGATGAAAAATTGAAAGATTTCTTGAGATGGACTTCAGAGTTGTACTGTGACATAAACGATTTAAGCATTACAGTTTTCGCTGTTCCTTGTTCTCCTGATGAAAAAATCGAGGGATTTGATGACAGTAGTTACATCTTTCTTGTATGAAATGGATATGTCTCATTAGTCGATATAAATACCGATTAGAAGAACAGCCTTCTCTTGTTGTGCAATCAATTTTATCAGAAACATGGTTCTTGTATTATCAATATTGGGGACCAGTATTTTATGATAATCCAGCACATACTCGGATGGATAATTGAAGGTTGGAACCATTTTACTCCAAGGGATCCAATTACCATTTTCGGCGATGAGATACTCGAAGATGGTATCATCTTCCTGAAAAACAGCAATGGTATTACTAGTTTTCTTTTTACCAAAATATTCATATTCTTTTAACCAAAAGTCACGTTTTTTTCTGAAAAACCTCCGATGGCATGGACGTGGAAAAACATAACGTCCAAGTTCATATGCATCTTCTACCGTTTTCTAATTTGTTTGAAAAGTCTAGAAAAGCGCAGGAAAATATTCGAACTACCTCGAAACTTCGTACGTGACTGAATAATGACGAGACGCCAAAACATTATATTTCTGTCGCGGATTTTTCTTGATCTTTCTCGTAATCTTGGGATTTCCCAACGGTTTTGGGGAACAGCTGCCAACAGGTTGGGGATTACTCATGCTCCTCGTACACAAAAGTGTCCCCCCCCCCCTGGCCGCAGGTTGAGACCTGGAAACGGTACGAGACCTCTCGACTCCCCCGGTAATTCGGAATGTAAATGTCGGCCTAATGGAAAGATTATGACGCTAAGTCGCCGCCACAAAGGCCTGCGAAACAGAGATATGGAGCCCGACACCAGACGTACTACGGCTTAACGCCCTGCAACAACCCCCGCTTCCGAGAGGGCCGCCAAACCCACAGGTGGGTGACAGGAAACGCGACATCTCTCTCTCAATGGACCTGAAATTAATGAGATCTCACTGATAGGCCGAAACGTCGTACAAGTCAGGAATAAGGAGATCACACCACCCGAGCCGCAATTGCAGCTGTCAACGGTTTTCCGATTCGCAGAACGAGATAATGAACTCCCGAATTTCCAGATACGGACCGCCATGATGAGTGACTAATCCCAGCATATCAATTGATCCCTCTGAAAAATAACGGTCACGGGCCTAGGTGGGGGATGACCTCCACCGAAGGCATATATGACCCCGCCCTAACCCGCAAAGGGCACTTCACGGTACGACACTTTACTTGACTTTACTTCATTTCTTAGTCAACTATTATTT